GTAACAATTCTGTGTCCCTGAGTAACAATTCTGTGTCCCTGAGTAACAATTCTGTGTCCCTCAGTAACAATTCTGTGTCCCTCAGTAACAATTCTGTGTCCCTCAGTAACAATTCTGTGTCCCTGAGTAACAATTCTGTGTCTGTCCCTGAGTAACAATTCTGTGTCCCTAAGTAACGTTTCTGTGGCCCTAAGTAACGGTTCTGTGGCCCTCAGTAACAAATTCTGTGTCCCTCAGTAACAATTCTATGTCTGTCCCTGAGTAACAATTCTGTGTCCCTAAGTAACAATTGTGGCCCTAAGTAACGTTTCTGTGGCCCTAGTAACGATTCTGTGGCCCTAAGTAACAATTCTGTGGCCCTAAGTAACGTTTCTGTGGCCCTAAGTAACTGTTTCTGTGGCCCTAAGTAACAGTTTCTGTGGCCCTAGTAGTAACAGTTCTGTGGCCCTCAGTAACAATTCTGTGTCCCTCAGTAACAAATTCTGTGTCCCTCAGTAACACAATTCTGTGTCTGTCCCTGAGTAACAATTCTGTGTCCCTAGTAACGTTTCTGTGTCCCCTAAGTAACGTTTCTGTGGCCCTAAGTAACGTTTCTGTGGCCCTAAGTAACGATTCTGTGGCCCTAAGTAACGTTCTGTGTCCCTCAGTAACGTTTCTGTTTTCTGTGGCCCTAAGTAACGTTTCTGTGGCACTAAGTAACGTTTCTGTGGCCCTAAGTAACGGTTCTGTGGCCCTCAGTAACAATTCTGTGTCCCTCAGTAACAATTCTGTGTCTGTCCCTAAGTAACAATTCTGTGGCCCTAAGTAACGTTTCTGTGGCCCTAAGTAACGTTTCTGTGTCCCTCAGTAACAATTCTGTGTCCCTCAGTAACAATTCTGTGTCTGTCCCTGAGTAACAATTCTGTGGCCCTAAGTAAAGTTTCTGTGGCCCTAAAGTAACGTTTCTGTGGCCCTAAGTAACGATTCTGTGGCCCTAAGTAACGTTTCTGTGTCCCTAAGTAACGTTCTGTGGCCCTAAGTAACAGTTCTGTGGCCCTCAGTAACAATTCTGTGTGTCCCTCAGTAACAATTCTGTGTCCCTCAGTAACAATTCTGTGTCCCTCAGTAACAATTCTGTGTCTGTCCCTGAGTAACAATTCTGTGTCCCTGAGTAACGTTTCTGTGGCCCTAAGTAACAGTTCTTTGGCCCTCAGTAACAATTCTGTGTCCCTCAGTAACAATTCTGTGTCTGTCCCTCAGTAACAATTCTGTGTCTGTCCCTGAGTAACAATTCTGTGTCCCTAAGTAACGTTTCTGTGTCCCTAAGTAACGTTCTGTGTGGCCCTAAGTAACGATTCTGTGGCCCTAAGTAACGATTCTGTGGCCCTGTGGTGGCCCTAAGTAACGTTCTGTGGCCCTAAGTAACGTTTCTGTGGCCCTAAGTAACGTTTCTGTGGCCTAAGTAACGTTTCTGTGGCCCTAAGTAACGGTTCTGTGGCCCTCAGTAACAATTCTGTGTCCCTCAGTAACAATTCTGTGTCTGTCCCCCTAAGTAACAATTCTGTGGCCCTAAGTAACGTTTCTGTGGCCCTAAGTAACGTTTCTGTGGCCCTAAGTAACGTTTCTGTGTCCCTCAGTAACAATTCTGTGGCCCTCAGTAACAATTCTGTGTCTGTCCCTGAGTAACAATTCTGTGGCCCTAAGTAACAATTCTGTGGCCCTAAGTAACGTTCTGTGGCCCTAAGTAACGATTCTGTGCCCTAAGTAACGTTTCTGTGTCCCTAAGTAACGTTTCTGTGGCCCTAAGTAACAGTTTCTGTGGCCCTAAGTAACAATTCTGTGGCCCTCAGTAACAATTCTGTGTCCCTCAGTAACAATTCTGTGTCCCTCAGTAACAATTCTGTGTCTGTCCCTGAGTAACAATTCTGTGTCCCTGAGTAACGTTTCTGTGGCCCTAAGTAACAGTTCTCTGTGGCCCTCAGTAACAATTCTGTGTCCCAATTCTGTGTCAGTAACAATTCTGTGTCTGTCCCTGAGTAACAATTCTGTGTCCCTGATTCTGTGTCCCTGTAACAATTCTGTGTCCCTGAGTAACAATTCTGTGTCCCCTCTGTGTCCCTCAGTAACAATTCTGTGTCCCTCAGTAACAATTCTGTGTGTCCCTGAGTAACAATTCTGTGTCCCTCAGTAACAATTCTGTGGCCCTCAGTAACAATTCTGTGTCCCTCAGTAACAATTCTGTGTCTGTCCCTGAGTAACAATTCTGTGTCCCTAAGTAACGTTTCTGTGGCCCTAAGTAACGTTTCTGTGGCCCTAAGTAACGATTCTGTGGCCCTAAGTAACGTTTCTGTAGCCCTAAGTAACGTTTCTGTGGCCCTAAGTAACGTTTCTGTGGCCCTAAGTAACGTTCTGTGGCCCTCAGTAACAGTTCTGTGGCCCTCAGTAACAATTCTGTGTCCCTCAGTAACAATTCTGTGTCTGTCCCTAAGTAACAATTCTGTGTCCCTAAGTAACGTTTCTGTGTCCCTAAGTAACGTTTCTGTGGCCCTAAGTAACGATTCTGTGGCCCTAAGTAACGATTCTGTGGCCCTAAGTAACGATTCTGTGGCCCTAAGTAACGTTTCTGTGGCCCTAAGTAACGTTTCTGTGGCCCTAAGTAACGTTTCTGTGGCCCTAAGTAACGTTTCTGTGGCCCTAAGTAACGGTTCTGTGGCCCTCAGTAACAATTCTGTGTCCCTCAGTAACAATTCTGTGTCTGTCCCTAAGTAACAATTCTGTGGCCCTAAGTAACGTTTCTGTGGCCCTAAGTAACGTTTCTGTGTCCCTCAGTAACAATTCTGTATCCCTCAGTAACAATTCTGTGTCTGTCCCTGAGTAACAATTCTGTGGCCCTAAGTAAAGTTTCTGTGGCCCTAAGTAACGTTTCTGTGGCCCTAAGTAACGATTCTGTGGCCCTAAGTAACGTTTCTGTGTCCCTAAGTAACAATTCTGTGGCCCTAAGTAACGGTTCTGTGGCCCTCAGTAACAATTCTGTGTCTGTCCCTAAGTAACAATTCTGTGGCCCTAAGTAACGTTTCTGTGGCCCTAAGTAACGTTTCTGTGGCCTTAAGTAACGTTTCTGTGGCCCTCAGTAACAATTCTGTATCCCTCAGTAACAATTCTGTGTCTGTCCCTGAGTAACAATTCTGTGTCCCTAAGTAACATTTCTGTGGCCCTAAGTAACGATTCTGTGGCCCTCAGTAACAAATCTGTGTCCCTCAGTAACAATTCTGTGTCTGTCCCTAAGTAACAATTCTGTGGCCCTAAGTAACGAATCTGTGGCCCTAAGTAACAAATCTGTGTCCCTCAGTAACAATTCTGTGTCTGTCCCTATGTAACAATTCTGTGGCTCTAAGTAACGTTTCTGTGGCCCTAAGTAACGGTTCTGTGGCCCTCACTAACAATTCTGTGTCCCTCAATAACAATTCTGTGTCTGTCCCTAAGTAACAATTCTGTTGCCCTAAGTAACGTTTCTGTGGCCCTAAGTAACGATTCTGTGGCCCTCAGTAACAAATCTGTGTCCCTCAGTAACAATTCTGTGTCTGTCCCTAAGTAACAATTCTGTGGCCCTAAGTAACGATTCTGTGGCCCTCAGTAACAAATCTGTGTCCCTCAGTAACAATTCTGTGTGGTCCCTAAGTAACAATTCTGTGGCCCTAAGTAACGTTTCTGTGGCCCTAAGTAACGATTCTGTGGCCCTCAGTAAACAATTCTGTATCCCTCAGTAACAATTCTGTTTGTCCCTGAGTAACAATTCTGTGTCCCTAAGTAACGTTTCTGTGGCCCTAACTAACGATTCTGTGGCCCTAAGTAACGTTTCTGTGGCCCTATGTAATGTTTCTATGGCCCTAAGTAACGATTCTGTGGCCCTAACTAACGTTTCTGTGTCCCTAAGTAACGTTTCTCTGTCCCTAACTCTCTCCTGAATACAGCCAGGTCTGCCTCTGTTGAATGACTGGAGGCAAATGGAGAATTCTAAAATGGCCGCCATTTATAGCTCGACCATTACACTGTGCTGGCTGGCTTCTAATCACAATATGTCAAAAGAAAAAGAAGCTTTCCACAATTCAAAAGTAAACATTCACTTTATTACATACAACTTTCCCCTATGCAGTATCCTTTAATCAGAAGAATTTTAAGACTTTTATTTTTTGTAAATATCCGGGGATACAAAAATTACATTTAACCACTTGCCTACCAGGCACTTATACCCCCTTCCTTACCAGGTCAATTTTCAGCTTTCAGCGCTGCCGCACTTTGATTGACAATTGCGCGGTCATGCAACATTGTACCCATATGAAATTTTGATCATTTTTTTCTCACAAATAGAGCTTTCTTTTGGTGGTATTTAATCGCCACTGGGCGCTTTACTTTTTGCGCTATAAATTAAAAAAAAGTGCAAAAAATTTGAAAAAAAAAAAAAAAGTTTATTTGTTTCTTTTATAAAATTTTTCAAACAGGTATTTTTTCTCCTTCACTGATTTGCGTTGATGAGGCGGCACTGATGGGCACTGATAGGCGGCACTGATGGGCACTGATAGGCAGCACTAAAGGGCACTGATAGGCAGTACTAATGAGGTGGCACGAATAGGCGGCACTGATAGACAGCACTAATTAGGGGTCACGGATAGGCGGCACTGATATGCAGCACTGATAGGCGGCACTGATAGGTGACACTGATGATGGGTACTGATAGACGGCACTGACTGGCATCACTTCTGGGCACTGACTGGCGGCACTGGCTGGCACAACCCCTGGGCACTTACTGGTGGCACTGACTGGCAGCACTGCTGGGCTGCACTGGTGGGTGGCACTGGTGGGCAGCACTGGTGGGTGGGCACAGGTGGGTGGCACTGGTGGGCACATGTGGGTGGGCACAGGTGGGTGGCACTGCTGGGCACATGTAGGTGGCACTTCTGGGCACAGGTAGGTGGCACTGCAGAGTGGCACAGGTGGGTGCACTGCTGGGCACAGGTGGGGGGCACTGCTGGGCACAGGTGGGGGCACTGCTGGGAACGGGTGGGCGGGCTAGTGGGCGCACTGCTGGGCGGAACTTGCGGGTGTCACTGCTGGGCACCGATCATCAGGGCACTGATCATCAGTGCCCTGATGATCGGTGCCGATCCCCGCTCTGACAACTGCCGGTTCTCGGCAGTACTTTCCTCACGATCTGACAGCGTGAGGAAAGTGCAGCCGAGAACCGGCACTTGCATTTCCCTGTGATCAGCGTGTCATTGGACACCGCTGATCACGTGGTAAAAGGCCGGTGGGATCGGCCTTTCACCACATCACGTGATCAGCTGTGTCCGTAGGACACAGCGATCACGAAGATCGCCGGGTGCGCGCCCCCTGGGGCGCGCAGGAGAGCGCGTTCTGGGAGGACGTCATATGACGTCCACTCAGAACTGGCCGGCCGCGGTGAAGCCGTCATTCGGCTATGCGCGGTCGGCAAGAGGTTAAGTTGTGTTGGAAAAATAACTGGAAAATGCATCTTTAACCAGTTCCCACCTGGCCTACAGTCAAATGATGGACCGGCGGAACATTCACTTGGACATTCACTGTGGTGGACTTCATATGTTAATACATTGTGCTGTGGCATGATATGTCACCTGCTGTGTCTGGTGGATGACCAGCAGATCACATGGCAATGTTAGACAATGAATGGCTTTCATTCATGCCACCCATTGTGCACTATTATCACAGTGATCACATGGTACAAACAGGGCCATTCACAGTCCATCTGTACCATGTGATTAGCTGTAAGCAATCGCAGTTAACCACAGTAGTAAACACTGAGTGAATCCATTTCAATCAGTAAAAATGGTTGCTTATACTAGTGAAATTCAGCAATAAGTAACCATAATGTGACAAAAATCCTGATCACTTCCCCACAGTATTACGATCTTATTGTGGTAACATTATATTGCTCTGGTCATAGTGAAAATTGAAGAACAAAATTTTTTTTTTTCTTTTGTTTATTTTTTTACATACTGACACGAGTCAGTGTCTCTGATCACCACCACACCAGTTATATGATGAAGTTGTACTGCACTGGTGACAATACGTAAAAAGAAAAGTGGAAAAGACACTTTTGTGAAATTCCTTCATTTTCCAAAAAATTGTGACAAACATTACAAGATCAAAAATCTTGCTATGCCTCTTGCTAAATACTGGGAACTGTCTACTTTCCAAAAAGGGGTAATTTGGGGGATATGTGTACTGTCCTGGAGTTTTCAGGACTTATCAATTTTCAGATATAGATACCATAGTTTGTGTATTCTATAAATCTGTAGTCTGTAGAAAAAGATCTGGGGATCCTAGTAGATACTAGACTCAGCAATGGCATGCAACGCCAAACTGTAGCAAGCAAAGCTAGCAGAATATTAGCATGCATAAAAAGGGTATTTACTCAAGAGATAAAACAATAATCTTGCCACTTTATAAAACTCTGGTTCGGCCACATCTGAAGTATGTCATCCAGTTCTTCAATTTTTGAAGAAAGATTATTTATTTGCAAAATTGTATAGCAGCAACAAAGAAAAGGCATTTTTTTAATAAAAATGTTGGTCTTTTTTGTTTATTTAGCAAAAAATAAAAACCCAGTGGTGATTAACCACTTGCTTACTGGGCACCTATACCCCCTTCATGCCCAGGACAATTTTCAGCTTTCAGCGCTATTGCACTTTGAATGACAATTGCGTGGTCATGCAACACTGTACCCATATATAGCTAACAGCACAGTAAATCATTCTGTTTGAATAGTGCAAATAATAGAAATTACAGAGATTTGTACGATCCGTATATGATATGAATTCGAGTGGTAAAATCAAGTCATGAGGCACCGCAGAGAACCAATGATGGCTATGAATGGTTGCCTCTTAATGGCAGAGAACATCACAATCATAAGTAAGAAAACTCAAATAGTTAAAAAAAAAACGATACAAATAAGTTGCTCAGTATGACAACCTAGTAAATAAGCAAAATTACAGTCATGGTAGAACACCATAGAAAATAGAGTAAGAAAAGAAAAAAAAAGGGGGGGGGGAATTAAGAAAAGCCAAACAGGTAGGTAGAGGGACATATAAAGGAGTGAAAATGTTATCATTTATTTCACACAAATAGAGCTTTCTTTTGGTGGTATTTAATAACTGCTGGGTGTTTTATTTTTTGCGCTATAAACAAAAAAGGTGGCACTGATGAGCTGGCACTAATGATGCTGCACTGATATACAACAATGATGGGCACTGGTAGGCAGCACTGATAGGCAGCACTGATGGGTAGCACTGATGAGCACTGGTAGTGATCTGCTGTGTCATTAGACACTGCTGATCATGTGGTAAAAGGCCATTGTGATTGGCATTTTACCACATCATGTGTTCAGCTGTGTCCTACGGACACAGCAATCATGGAGATCACCAGGTGCGCGCCCCCAGGGGTGCGCCGGAGGGCGCGTTCTGGGAGGACATCATATGATGACCTCCCAGGACTGGACAACCGCGCTGTAGCCATCATTCGGCTATAGCCTGGTTGTCAAGTGGTTAAATACCACCAAAAGAAAGCTCTGTTTGAGTGAAAAGTTATAAAAATTCAATATGGGTAATTGCTGTATGACCACGCATTTGTCATTTAAAGAACCACAGCTCTGAAAGCTGAAAATTCGCCTGGACAGGAGGGGGTGAAAGTGCCCTGTACTGAAATGGTTAAAAAAAACCCTCCCTAATTAAAACATAGAACATTGTAATATATGTATTTAAATATATACCAAATAAAAGCCATATATGTCCCCCCAAAATATGTAAAATACATAATAGTAACCAACTGTTTAAAGGTGTAATGTCAGGAACTAAGACTTAAACTGCTTTGGGACACAGTGAGATTATAGGGAAGAAAAATCTCTGCTTTAAAAGTGCAGCATAGTTATTTACATTGTTTGTTTTAGAAAATCAATTAGTTAAAAAAAATACAATATTGCTATGTGCTGTAATCAAGAGCAACCAATTAGATGTAAGCTTTCATATGATGATAAGAGGTATCAGAAGAGCAAAAAACATTCTCTGGCTGATTCCTATGGATTTTAATATTACACTTTGCCTTTTGAAATCAGCCTACTTGTGTGCATACAAACTAATATGCTGCTTCTTTTAAGGTGATCCTAAAAATGTCCCTCAGAACTTAACTGCTGTGCAGCTATATGTGCTTCATTTTGAAGATGCATAATGGATATTGCTGGGAAAGAAAGAGAGAAAAGTTTTATATCAGTAAACTTCAAAGTCCTCTGTGATCGAAAGGTCAGACAAAGTGAAATCTCCCCCCACGCATCTCTAGAGGATAGAGAAAAAAGAGAGAAAGCAGAGGTGCTGTAGCTATTCAACCCTTGGGTGCTCCTGTAGACTATTACTACCATCTTTGGAAATGTGTGGTTATGTTGTTCTGGGGATTACTCTGTACTTGACATTGAGGAAAAGATAAAACACAGTTTACTTGTTGCCACAGGCAAACTCAACCATTTCACTGTAATGTAAAATTACATTCGGTACTTCTCAGCTGCATAGTAAAAAGGGTTTCATATGCCAGACGTATTTAGAGCTAGAGAATAAAAATGTGTCTCTGTTTGATATCTTGGTTCCCAACAAACTGCCCTGGATTCAATCATTAATTAAATGTTAAATGGACTGATAATGAATTATGGCTGCATAATATATAGTATGTGTATGTGAGACACGATATATGTGTGTTTTTGAGATACGAAATATATATATTTGTCAGATATCAAAGAGCAACTCCAGGCAACAAAAATAGTTTTGTGAACACATTGCTGTCCGTTTATGAACCAGCAGTAATAGCTCGCTGCTCAGTTCTCTGGCATTCTCGGAGAACACAGTTCTCCTGTGAATGTCTTTTATGAAGCAGTTCTCCAAACGAAGGGAGAACGGTCTCCAAACGCTGGAGAACGGTCTCCAAATGCTGGAAAACGGCTCATTTTACTATAACCTTGTGAGATTACAGTAAAAGATCAGTTTACTAAGCAGAGGTAAATTATCGCTGCTTAGTTTGTGGTTCCTCCGATTCTCCAGCTCTGGGCTGGAGAATCTGGAGGGAGAACACAGATCTCCAGTGAAGAGCTGAACATGTTCTCCGCTGATCTCCGGAGTGTCATAAACTGTGAATGACCAGAGAATAGCTGCAATCCCCTGAATTGCAGCTATTCTCTGTGTCATAAACAGACACCTTAATGACAATGCAGCAGTGTGATATATATAAAAAGGGTTGTGTATTTGCATTAAGGTGTTCGTTTATGAAACTGAGATCTACAGCGATCCTGAGGATTGTTGCTGATCTCAGATCATTAGTGGCTTATGAAACAGAGAAACAGAGATTATCAAGGGAGAACATGTTCTCTGCTGATCATCTCAGCACACAGAGAATCTGTCACTGACAAAAATAGAAACGGCCAGTTTATGAAGGAGCGATGTCAGCCCTTCACTGGCGATCTGTGTGAAAATTCTCCCTCCCAGATTCTCCAGCCCAGAGGTGGAGAATTGGGGAGAAAAGAGTGAATCTCTGGAGAACTGAGGAGGAAGGTTATTGACTTCCTTCTTCCTCAATCAGACAGTGGGAAAGCCCCCTGTCTTTCACAACCCCCGATGGGGTAGAGCAAGTTAAAAACACTCGCCCTCTCTCTCTCTGTATACACACATATATATATATATATATATATATATATATATATATATATATATATATATGTGTGTCAGGAATGGACTTGCCAATAGTGGTGGGACTCACCTGCCTTGTGGGCTGCAGTACCAGGGCTGGCCAGCGGGTGCTCTCAACAACCAGAGGCTCACTTCAACAATTAGCCATCACCTGGGGCTGATTGCAGGTGGTGTATTTAAGGGATGGCCAGACCTGCAGTCTGTGCCTTGTTGTACTGTTTGCTTGGCCCTGGTTTTCTGATCCTGTTTCTGCTGTCCTGACGCTGCCTGAACTCTGCTGATACTGACCTCGGCTAGTCCTGACCACTCTCCCGCCTGCTCCTGGTACTCCGTTTGCCCGTTTGCTACCGACCCGGCCTGCCTGACTACTCTTGTATCGTATGTTTGTTA